TTGGTATCTGCTAATTTAAAAATGTAAGGAGCAATTTTTTCACCTTGTTCCTTTTTCAAAATACTTCTAATGGTGCTGTAATTTTTTGGTTCCATGGTAGATCAGATGTAAATGAGTTTCATATTAACTATTTTTATATAGAGGTAATTCTATATATCACTTAAGATAGCAAATGAGATATTATAAAACTGTTAATTATATAATCACATTACAAATGACTAAATTTTGGACCCTGAAATCATTGGTAACAACAATGTTCACTTTGTCTGGTTTTGTTGCAGTATGTCCCATATATTAATATATTAGTTTATGCTTATTATGTTATGTGTATAAAATAAAAGAAATTCATAACATAGAACTTATTGAAGTTGGGCAAATCAAGCCTAGAAGAAACTACATTATATACCAGTTTTTCAATAAGATTTATCTTTTGGCTACTACTTCTACTAATGTCACAGCAAATTAGCAGATCATTTGGATCATTTACCCTCTTGCTTAATTGATGCTCAACCAAAAAAAAAATCTTTTTAGACAAATCTTACATTGATTTTGGTTCCTTCACTTTCGATCAGTTTAGTTTCACCGGCTTTGTTTTATTACCAAAGTTCAGAAAAAAAGAAAATCAATTAAACATTTAAGTGAAGATAAAGAAGATAACTCTGAACAGCAAAAACTTATTCACGAGCTTCAGAATAAAGTTAATTATTCAAGATTTAGAGCTGAGCAAGAAAATAAAAACTCAAAAATTAGAAAGCAAATGTCAAATTAACCTGAACAATTAAGTGAAAAGAAGTTGAGCCAGTATGATTTGATTAATTGCTTATTTCTATTCTATAAAAGAAAATGAAATCGTAGTGGTAGTAGTACAAATGTTCTATAATAATAACCCGTAAATATTTGTGAGAAAATTAATTAAAAAATTTATTTTATTAAAAAAGATGAGTTTTAGCAAATTTAAACAGGTAATTCAAAAATAATTAACGACATTTCTGATTTCCAGTTCTGATTTTATAGCTTATGCGTAACTGCTTATCTAATATTTCTTCATAGTGGGCAAATGAAAAAGTAGGAACTAGCAGTAAAACACAAACTACTGATGAATTTCAAGAATTACGACAAAGAACAGATGCAAGGCACATTGCTTTTGATAAGCTTCATGTCGTAACAAATGTTTATCTTAGATCTATATGTACTTACCTACCTATTCTTTAACATTGTATTTCTGCGACCATTATTTCAAATGTTGGTTTTATAATAATAATTTTACTTTTCTATTTTTCTATTTTTAGCAAAGAAAATTGAATCATATGATGGCAAAACAAAAAATTTACCAATTGAAACACTTGGAACTACAATGAGAGTTTATGGTGAAGAAATCGGTAGTGAGGCTGACTATGGTAATGTGTATATATGTGTGTGTGTGTGTATACAGAAAGAGAAAGAGAAATGTGTTGATTATGAGCTACATTGCATTTATTAATCGACAAATACACATTATTATATATGTATATAGGAGTGGCATTGGTGAATTTTGGTACCGCAAATGAAAAAATTGCAAATACACAAGTTGAATACATATCAAGAATTCGTGAAGAATTTCTTCTGGGATTAGAAGATTACATTAAAGATTTAAAACATTATCAAGTAATTATAAATTTATTTAATAGATTGCTATATATAATGATGATAGATTACAAAAAATAATAATCGCTTTATCATTTTATATAGGTATTAAAAAAAAAATTGGAATCTCGTCGACTTGATTATGATTCAAAATTAAACAGAGTACAAAAATCTAAAAAAGAAAAACCAGAACTTGAAGAAGAAATGCGTGCAGCTAAAGAGAAATACGAGGATACAATGGATGATATTACTAATAAAATGTTAAAACTTGATGAATCAGAGGTAAACTATTAAAATTATTCATTAATTTACTCGCACATTTACTGCTCATCCACTTTATAAAATATTTTTTTTAATAATTAACTTTATTACACACACGTGCACATACATATATGATTGTGAAATTGGTTTATTATCAGGATCAATATTTAAGAGAATTGACTGCATTCTTGGACGCTGAATTAGATTATCATAAAACATGCTATGATATTTTAAACGATGTGAAGAAAGATTGGGTTGAAAGGTTTGTTTATTCTTAATATTACAGTATTAAATGATAATAATTATCATTATTAATTACAATATACTCTATGCTAGCCCACCAAAAAGGAACGTACGTCAAAAATCCAAAAGAAGGAAAGCCACAAGTGATTCAAATAATTCAAACTCTGATGGCGGTGAAGAAAAAAATCGTCATTCAGATGATGATGCAAGCATTCGCTCATATTCAAGTTATAGTCGTTCCAAAGGAAAAAAAACAACATCTCGTAGAACTTCAACTATCCAAAAGAATTCAAAATCAGATAATCTAAGTGTACCTAATAAACTCACACGTTCCAAAAGTGCATCTTCTGAATCTTCTTCAGTTAAATCGTATGACGCTATAAATAAATCACAATCAAAAAAATCAGGTATTAATTAGTTCAATTCACACGTTATTTTCACTCGTTTATTTATTGTAATTATAAATTGTATTTCTCTTTATTCTTTTTTAAGGCAAATCTACTACCACCACCACTACCTCATCATCACCTACATCTACATCTAAAAAAAAACAAGTAAAGGCATTATATAGTTATGAGGGAACTGGTGATGATGAGCTTACTATTGAGGATGGTGATATTGTCACTGTTCTGGAGGAACATGAAGGATGGTGGATTGGTGAAATTACCGATCCAGATGGATCGGTCAGGACAGGAATGTTTCCTGCTAATTATACTGAAGAAATCAAATCTGAAGCACCATCAAGAAACAATTCTAATAATTCAAATAAGTATCGAAAATCAACCGCTGATTATGAATCTGATGATAATGAATCTGATGTTCCTGATAAATCAAAGAATTATGACGACGACGACGACGACGATGACGATAATGATGACGACGAATATTATCATGAACCACCGAAACGTAAAACACCATCACGTAATAGTTCATACTCATCTCATCGATCATCACAAAAACCTACTCACAGTAACACACGAGAAAGTAATGGTGACGAATCGCCACCACGTTCTTTATCTCCTCCAGTCAGCACACCTCCTATACCATCACGTAGCACCAAACCATCTCCATCACGTAACTCTATCATATCTGGTTCTCAACAATTGACTCGACAAAAAACAAACGAATATTCATCAATCGCGCCAAAAATCACATCCCCAACACCTTCCATCTCAAGAGCTTCTTACATTACTCAAGAACATACAAAAAAAACCAATTCATCGCAAGATTGTGGTCCTTGTCAAGAGTGTGGTTGTGATGATTTTAGTCCAAATGTATTCAAAAAAGATAATTGCAATAATTGTTTTCATAAACATTAAAAAAAACTTTTTACAATTCATACATGGGATGATTAATTGATTACCTATGTTTATTTATGGTTGGGCAAGTTAATATAACTGGTGATCGATCGCATAATTTATTTGTAGATTGTTATTATCATATCATTTTATTTTATAAATTGATTCGTAGTTAATTTAATTTATTTATTGTATTTATTTAATCATGTTTGTAACTTTATAAATCACAATATAATTTAATTTATCATTATTTAATATTTTATTTACATGTAAATATATAAGTTTAGAAAATTAAATATGTAGTCAATATATTATGAGTTATATATTTATTAGTTTAGAAAATCAAATATCAAAGTCGATATATATATATATACTAATAATATATTTGTATTGATTCTGATCATTAATTCCTCGCTGTTAACACTAAAGCTTTATTTTGATGTCCTTTATTTTCTTAGTCACTTTTCTCAATATCCCGATCATTCTTTTTGTGCTGAAGTTGTATATCTATTAAATTTGATCAAGCTGAATCGACTTTTTCAAATTGTGCAAACAACCTATATCTCTTCTTCTGCTACCTTTCAGTTCTTTTCCCATTGCAAGCGTTTTTCTTCTGAGCGTCCTGAAATCAAGGATGTTACCTGAACTTTGGAATAATAATAGCTCTTTCATGGGGCGCAAATCATTAAAAAAATTTCATTCTACGAACATATCTAAAGTCTATAACAAGAGAATAGTCCTTAATAATTTAGTTTTCAATTCTGCTTTTAAAGAGATCAACGATCAGCCCAAGACTCTTACTTTAGAAATCAACGAAGAGCCAGTGAATATTTTTGAAATTAACATGCCACGTAATCTCCAATTACAAAAGAATTTGTTGCATACGAGGTTTCTAGGGAGCTAGATTCGCCAAAATGGCACTATTATTCGCTGTATCTCGAGAAGGTTCCAATTTTTACTTTTCTTCGGAATGTGAGAACCAGACGCTGTCGAGGGAGCTTACCGTTCACTTGACTATAAACAATTTGGATTTTTCAAGGCCAACCATTTGCTCCTACGTTTGTTGCAGAAGTTGAAGTTTCACACGAAGTGTCGGTCAGTCGCAAAAATTTTATTAATTTAGATCGTAAATTCAGATTACCCTTCTGAATATTCAGGTTCACAATAAAAACAATGAAAAAAAAAAACAGATCTTTTACTATTTTATAGACGTCCTAGATTTACCTATTTTTATTACAAGTGAGTGTCTGTCATAAATTTATATTAATTGCGTTACGTTTAGGTGGGTTGGATTTGTGCCAACAAAATGGCATGTATAACGGGTTGATTTGGACTTAGAAATGCACGAAGACTTCTTCTATATTATTCGTAACAGAATTCTACTTTGTCCTAAAGAAAATGGATTGGTAAACTAAACTAAAAAACGAAAAAATTTATGTCGGACGGTAAAGGGAGATTGAAAATGATGGCACTTGGATTATTTATACAATTTTCTTTGATAAAGTTTTAGCACAAATTATACGTATTATTATAATTGAGTCAATTTATGAATAATTCACATATTTATCAAATTAAGGTTTTTATAAAAAAAGTTTCTCAAATCAATCCAAACCCTCCTCATTATATATTATCAAGATTATCAAGTAAAATGAAAATATTCAGTTAATGAGAACATCAAACTCACACAAAGCAAAGGTGACGAAAATTAATTAAAATCACCAAATAATGAAGATAATTTTGGTTTTATCAATTAATTAATTTAATGTTGTTATTATTTAATAACATCTCCAAATTATAATAATGTAAATCATTTCCTAATTTCCCGTGATCCATAAATTATCAAATTTGAATTTCATTAAATTATTTGCTGGGTTTTTTATTCAATCATTGTCATCACCGGTGTATCAGGTTGTTGATTCATATTCAAACGATACAAGAGCTGATGAAATATGGGTTCTAATAATGTTTGAATAACTGATAATAATTCTTTCTTTGTCATTGATTGTTCAGTTGAATATTTTTCTTCCACTTCTAAAGTGACCTTGGCATTGAGCAAAGTATTTCAAATCAATATTCCTAAGATTCAAAAGAATATAGAATATTTATATTATTATTGAATATTAATATACTAATTGAAATATTTCTTTCCGCAAAAGCTTTAAGCATGTTCATTTCCTCATGGAGTGGACCAGGCAACAAGGTAATTCCTGGGTAATCCTTTTACATTTTTGAGCATAGTGGTAAGGAACTCCATCACATACAACTACAATCAATTTTCTCTCTTGCTTATTGATTCCACTAAGTTCTTGTATGTGATCAAGAACCTTACAAACATTGACAATTGAGTTTGGATTTATTGGCAATGGATCAGGTACAAGAATGTCTGGTAGACTAACACCTTCATCAGGCACTGATTTTTGTGTTATACTAATGGGACTTGTATTTACATTTGAAGTCTCTTTTTCAATTTGATGGAATTTAATATTTAAAGGTGCTGTGATATTTTCTTTGGACATTGCTTGATTTATTTCTTGTTCCTTATTCTGGAAAAAAGCAAGGAGAAGTAATGTACTATTACATTGAGGACACTTACGTTTTGAATTCTCTATTTCATTCACACCACACTGTTTTATTTTTCCTGACTTTGCATTATATTTGGCTATAAGATCATCAATAGTATTTATATTTCTTTCTTTTTCTGCACATGCTTCAATTATGATAATAGAAAGATAATCATGAAGCTGTTGATCAAGTAATTCTTGCATTTCTGGTGTGATGTCATAAAGAGTTTGAATTTGTGACAAATCTAAGGATTTATGTAGCCAAGGATTTTCAAGAACTTGTACTTGACTAGTGGGATCAAAATTGAAAGAAATAAAACTTGTGATGATGTGAAATGTGACAGTATTATCCACAATCTAAATAATTTTTTACCCCCTTTTGCTCATTGTCAAATGCCATAAATAACAAGTCCCTTTGGGAGTGGTTCAGCTTCTCTGGCCAAATCTTCTTGTCATTTCATAAATTTTGTAAAGCTACCAGAGCTTATAATATGATTATCTATATCAACAAAGCATAGTGGACATTTGATTTCATTGGCTAAATTATGTGACGATCTCCCTTCCAGATATCACGCAAAAAATTAAATT